TCATCTCCACACCGTCTATACTTTCATTCTATTTTAAAGATCGTTTGTTGTGTGTGTGTGTGTGTGTGTGTGTGTGTGTGTGTGTGTGTGTGTGTGTGTGCGTGTGTGTGTGCGTGCGTGTGTGTGTGTGTGTGTGTGCGTGTTTAGATTTTTAGAATGTTTGAATGGCGTTCAGAAGGTGTATGTACGTTTCTTTAAGGCGGTCAGAAGGTGTGTAAGTTACTTTAAGACGTTCAGAAGGTGTGTACGTTCCTTTAAGACGTTCAGAAGATTACTAAGAATAACTAAATAAATTAAGAATACTGTAAAAAAATAAGTGAGAATAAGTCAAATATCTTCAGAATAAAAAAAAAAATTATAAATAGACAATTAATAAATAGTTTAAGAAAACAAAATTGACGTCATTTATTTTTTAGTTTTTAATTCAGGATTTTTATTGGCATCCTAACCTAACCTAACCCAATTTAACCTAACCTAACCCACCCTAACCTGACCTCCCTCACACCTCTCCACCCGAAATCTTTTATCGGGAACTTCACACACATTCTCTCTCTCTCTCTCTTGCTATCCTCTTCTCTTTTCCCCTCTTCTCTCCCTTTCTCTCTTTTTCCCCTTCTCTTATTTTATCTTCCTTACCTCCCTCTTCTTTTTCTCCTCTTCTTTTCTCTTACCTCCTCTTCTCTTCTTCACTACTCTTCTTTCTTTCACTTTTAGTCCCTCTCTCTTTCTTTCATTTTCTCTCTTTTCTTACCTCCCTCTTCTCTTACCACCTTCTCTTTTCTTTCTCCTCTCTTCTCTACACTTCTCCTTCCCCCCACTCCTCTTCTCTTCCTCTCCCCCCACACATTCTCTGCTACAATCTCTGTCACTAAACATTTTAAGTCTTTAGTCTCTCTCTCTCTCTCTCTCTCTCTCCTGATTCTGATAATTTGGGACATATCACTCTCCCCCCCCCCTCCCCCTGTCAACACACACACATACACACACGCACCTCTCCCACTCTACTTCCTCTCCCATCCTCCTCTTCCATCCTCCTTTCCCACCCTCATGACGCTCATCCTCACCCCATCAATACATCCACTGACAACATCTTTTCTCCCCCTCCCTCCTATCCCTCCCATCCCTCCCATCCTTCCCTCCTCCTCCCCTCTTTTTACTACCACTTCCCATCTCTTCTCTTCCTCCTCCTCCACCTCCTCCTCCTCCTCCTCCTCCTCCACCTCCTCCTCCTCCTCCTCCACCTCCTCCTCCTCCTCCTCCCATCTCTCCTCCCATCTCTTCTCTTCCTCCTCCCTCCACCTCCTCCTCCTCCACCTCCTCCTCCCTCCTCCCATCTCCCTCCTCCTCCTCCTCCCATCTCTCCTCCTCCTCCTCCTCCTCCCTCCTCCTCACCTCCTCCTCCCTCCTCCCAACTAAACTAACGTCATCATAATATTGCTTCGTGTGTACCTCTCTTATGTTCCCTTCACGGCTACCCCCTCGGCGTGGCAAGATGGGCGTGAACATTTGTTTATCCCAAACCACGCCCACTCTATATCCTTCTTTCTTCCCCACCCACCCACCGCCCACCCCCCCTACCTATTGTCCTCCTCCTGTCTGTCTGTGTCTGTCTGTGTCTCTGTCTTCATGTCTCATGTGTGTGTGTGTGTGTGTGTATATCCGTCTGTCTGGCTGTGTGTCTGTGTATTTCTCTACGTCTTCGTGTTTGTGTGTGTGTGTGTGTGTTATCTATCTATCTATCTATCTATCTATCTATCTATCTATCTATCTATCTATGGAAGAAAATTAACCAATAAATCTATATATGTTCTCCATTAGTCCCCCCGGTGCCCAGGAACAGAACAATATCACCTGTACAGTTTCATATATCGAGCGAGAAGTAGGAAGGGTTGGTGTAATTTTTATTGTATTTTGTTCGTTGACGATAATGACGGTGTTGTGAGTTACGTGTGTCTACCAATATCACAAAATGGTAGGAACAAGTCTTATGGCCTCTGTAGTGTGTGTGTGTGTGTGTGTGTGTGTGTGTGTGTGTGTCTGTGTGTGTGTGTGTGTTTCTTTTATATAGTAAATAAAGTTGTAGTCGAAAAAAGCGATTAAATTGTTGTAGGGCGCGGGGCGGCAACCTCGTCTGGTGAAAGAGCGTTGTTTGGGTCCCTGTTTGATGATATCGCCGGATTCCCTGACCTTTAGAGTTTTATACTCTAAACGCTCTTCTCTCTCTCTCTCTTCTCTTGTCTCTCTTTATCTCTCTATTTCTTTACTGATATATCTCTCATTGACAGCCTCTATATTCTTCATGTTCATCTTGTGTTCTACGAAGATACACAAAAAACTATTGTTTTAAACTGTGGCGAGGAGGAAAGATACGGCCGGGAACACAATAGCAATATCTCCAGACACCTCGATCTGGGTTCTGATCTAACCAGCCTCACAAAGCGCTCCATCAGCACTTTACAAAATGCTCGCCTCAGGGCTCCAATGCGGACGCATCCCTCGCGTTATTTGGCATAAAAATCAACCTTATGGCGAGGCAGGTTAGAAGTCGTAATGGCACCGGTCGGAAAGTCAGTTAGATAGCTAATTCCCATGTTGAAAGATTGGGTATTTGGAACATTGGCGGCCATAACAGTACATTTCAGCCCGTGCACCATTGAAGCTGGTTGATGTGGCCTGTCGCCCACGCCGCTCCGACGCTGTTTGTTAGGTCAACCCCGGTCATAGGGAGCCGCCCGCTGCTCTGCCACACACAACTTTTGATCAAGTATTAGACGCGATTTGTATGTCCTGCTTGTGTGGTGGGTTTATGACTCTCCAACTCTGGCTTTATTGATACGGACGTGTGTCGTTGGTGGAGGGGAGGGGGGGGAGGTGACGCCCGTCTTAGTTACCGGCGTCGTCACAACTTCTCCTTGTTGTCTAGGTGACGCACGTAAGAATATCAATATCATCAGCCATACATTGCAGCTGACACATTAGCTATTGACACACACACACACACACACGTTAAAGTCTTAGTCTTATTGTGACATAAACAAAGGTATACAGTATATGTTGAAGTAATAGTTTAATGTTATACTGAGATGACTGTAAGAGTGGACGACTGGGTGCGTGATTTGGTGGGGCTGTGTGTGTGTGTGTGTGTGTGTGTGTGTGTGTGTGTGTGTGTGTGTGTGTGTGTGTGTGTGTGTGTGTGTGTGTGTGTGTGTGTGAGTGTGTGTGTGTGTGTGTGTGTGTGTGAGAGAGTGTAAGTATGCGAGGTTGAGGAATGTGGGCGGAGAGGTGGGCGGTGGCAGCGGTTAAATATGTGCGTGGGTGGAACGTGGCAGAATGTGGTGTGAGACAGAGCCAGGGGTCGAGGGACCTTCGACAGGGAGTTGTTAAGTGCTGTCTGTACTCAGAATCAGGGGATATGTGAGGGGGAAGAACGAGGAGGAGGAGGGAGGGAAGTTGAACGAGGAGAAGGAAGAGGAAGGAAGATGGAGATGAAGGTATAGGAAGAGAAGGAAAAGGTAGAGGAGAAGAAGGAAGGGGTGGAGGAGGAGACGAGAGAAAGGAGCAATGAAGAAGAGTAGAAGGAGGAGGAGGAGGAGGAGGCGGGAGTAAAGAAACGAAGAAGAGGAAGAATAAGAACAAACAAAAGATATAGAGAGATAGAGAGAGAGGCGGAGAAGAATATGGGAGAGAGAGGGAGAGAGGGTGATGAATGGGGGGGATAAGAGAAAGGGCAATAAAGCAGGGAAGAGGAAGAGAGAATCAGAGCCAAAGGGTGAGGACGGGTAAATGAGAGAGAAAGAAAATATAGTCAGGGAAATAACGAGATATAATAAAGATGGGGAATAATGCATGGGGGAGGTGGAGGAAAAAACGAAGGACAACGAGGCATGGGAAAGGGAAAATAAGCGATAGGGGGAAAAAAGGAAGGAAAAGAGGGAAAAAACACTAAAGAAAGGGAAAAAAAAGAGGGTTGATGGGAGTTATCGATAAGGTGAACCGTATTTAGTGGATGAACATAATTGAAGGTTCCCAGGCGGTGTGTGTGTGTGTGTGTGTGTGTGTGTTTGTCCTTCTTCTTGAACACACATACATACACAGCTGTTTAAGGCTTTGATATTTTGTTTTGTTTGTTTGTTTGTTTGTTGTTTAAGCTATCCCCACAACCACCTCCACCACCACCACCACCACCACCAACAACAACAACAACAACAACAACAACAACAACAACAACAACAACAATCATAACAACACTACTCCATCACCACCAACAAAAACAACAATAACAACCATCACCAACACCACCACCACCACAGTTAGCACCATTTCCACTATCACTACAACCACCATCACCACAACCATCACCATTTCTACCAGCACCATCACCACAACTACCACCACTTCCGCCAGCCCTCATCCCATACGTTATTACCGCATCATCAGTATCACACACCATCAGCTTTCACCCCTCGTAGCCCTACCACCACTACCACCATCGTCACACCTACCACCACTACCACCATCGTCACACCTACCACCACTACCACCATCGTCACACCTACCACCACTACCACCATCGTCACACCTACCAACACTACCACCATCGTCACACCTACAGCCACTACCACCATCGTCACCCCTATAACTACTACTACAGCTACTGCTACTACTACTACTACTACTACTACTACTACTACTACTACTATCCTGAACGATAACACCACACCCTAACACTATTCTACACCACCACCATCTACACCATCACACCCTCCTACACCACACCCTTACCTGTACTACCTGGATAACATAATGACCTCTTTTATCTATCATTATGACCACCACCTCTGCCACTTGACCTAACACACACACACACACACACACACACACACACACACACACACACACACACCCCTACGGGTATCTTTAACACAACAACAACACACCCCTACAGGACTCCCAGTGTGTGTGTGTGTGTGTGTGTGTGTGTGTGTGTGTGTGTGTGTGTGTCAAAACCTGGCCCTTAGCTGACCATAGAGGCAGTTTGTATCAGTTATAATCCTCTCACAGTACTGCGACAGCTTCTTCCTGCTGCCTCCTGTACTCCTGCTCTTCTGCTGCCTCCTGTACTGTTGGTCTTCCTGCTGCCTCTTGTACTCCTGCTCTTCCTGCTGCCTCCTGTACTCCTGCTCTTCCTGCTGCCTCCTGTACTGTTGGTCTTCCTGCTGCCTCCTGCTGTTGGTCTTCCTGCTGCCTCCTGTACTGTTGGTCTTCCTGCTGCCTCTTAGCTCCTGCTCTTCCTGCTGCCTCCTGTAATCCTGCTCTTCCTGCTGCCTCCTGTACTCCTGCTCTTCCTGCTGCCTCCTGTACTGTTGGTCTTCCTGCTGCCTCCTGTACTGTTGGTCTTCCTGCTGCCTCCTGTACTGTTGGTCTTCCTGCTGCCTCTTGTACTCTTGCTCTTCCTGCTGCCTCCTGTAATCCCTCTTCCTGCTGCCTCCTGTACTGTTGGTCTTCCTGCTGCCTCCTGTACTCCTGCTCTTCCTGCTGCCTCCTGTACTATTGGTCTTCCTGCTGCCTCCTGTACTATTGGTCTTCCTGCTGCCTCCTGTACTCCTGCTCTTCTGCTACCCCCCAGCCCACTCACCTGCCTCCTGTACTCCTGCTCTTCCTGCTGCCTCCTGTACTGTGGTCTTCCTGCTGCCTCCTGTACTCCTGCTCTTCTGCTACCCCCTGTACTCCTGCCTCCTGCTTGCTCCTGCTCTTCCTGCTGCCTCCTGTACTCCCCTGCTCTTCCTGCTGCCTGTGCTCCTGCTCTTCTGCTACCCCCTGTACTCCTGCTGCCTCCTGTACTCCTGCTCTTCCTGCTGCCTCCTGTACTATTGGTCTTCCCTGCTGCCTCCTGTACTCCCTGCTCTTCTGCTACCCCTGTACTCCTGCCTCCTGCCTCCTGCTCCTCCTACCTCCCTGCCTCCTGATCTTCCTGCTGCCTCCTGTACTGTTGGTCTTCCTGCTGCCTCCTGTACTCCTGCTCTTCCTGCTGCCTCCTGTACTCCTGCTCCTCCTGCTGCCTCCTGTACTCCTGCTCCTCCTGCTGCCTCCTGTACTCCTGCTCTTCCTGCTGCCTCCTGTACTCCTGCTCTTCCTGCTGTATTTCCTCCTTATTAAGAGGAAATACAATACTGCTGTGTAGTTGACCAGTAGTCGGTCGAGGGAAGAATAATAATAAACATAAGATTCAGCTGAAGTGATAAGAAAAATATAAACAAGTAGATTAGAATTAGGTGGGTATAGGTGATAAAGAATGGGAACAGCATAATGGTGATGGAGATGAGACATAGAAATAAAAGAGAGAAAGGAAGAAACGCGAGGAGAAAGAATGATGCGATGTTACTGTATTAGTGAAGTACTGTAGTTAACATGGCAGCGGTGAGGCCATAATGCAACAGCAGCGGTCCAACAGTAGTACAGTCCCACGGGATAGTACATGACTTAGGGAAGGCCAGGTACTGCAGGGACAGATGACCTGAGGGAGTGTTGGTGGCCCAGGGGAAGGTTGTGCACTATCTCCTGTCAGTCCACAAGGGGCGGGTCTCTCAATAACCCGGACGAAGCCTTATGTGTGTGTGTGTGTGTGTGTGTGTGTGTGTGTGTAATAGTTTATCATGGGCTCTATTTATATATATATATATATATATATATATATATATATATATATATATATATATATATACAGTTATAATGGAGCCAAATGTATGGAAAGTTTGTTGAAGTAAATGAATATAATCTAATATCACATCTTTGTGTATAACTTGACACTCCAAGTCTGGGAATCAAAGAGGCGAGTGTGGAGGCCTGACCCTAACTTGAAGAATAAACAGGGAGGAGGAGGAGGAGGAGGAGGAGGTAGGAGAGGACGTTCCTCACGCATGACCTGAGGAAGTAGCTGCCAGCGGCCTCCTGCCTCTCACGTAAAACACCTATTAGGAGAGTGACTGGTGGAGACACAACCACCCGACCACACACACACACACATTACCTTGCCTCGTTCTGGAGGTGTGGGGCAGGTGTGGTGGTGTTGGTGGTATTTGCAACAGATCAGTTTGTTCCTCTTGGGCAGTGCTAAAGTGATTCATTGTAGAATAAGTATGGAAGTTCTTTAAATACACCACCTCAGATATCTCAGTCGCCCTTCATAATGCCGTTTACCTGAAAATTAGTCCCCAGCTTAATTCACCTGAAGATTAGACCCTCAGCTTATTTCACTTAAAGATTAAAGGACTTACTGGGGTGACTCCCCAGTAAGTCCTGGGGTACTCCTGACTGGCAGCTGAAGACGTCACTTGCAGGTGTTGAGCTGCTGAGGGTCACACCTACAGTAGTGGTCGACTTACTAACACCAAGTTATGTTGTTGTCTCCTGTAAGAAATAATGAATTGGTTAACAGCTCTCGTGTCTGTGGTGATCTAACGGGACAAAAACGTGTGTGTCACGAGGAAGACAGGCAGTTGTTGGTGGGGGGGGGGGCAGCAGCTTGTTTAACGACACCTGCCTTACCTGGGCTCGTTACCTGGCCGCATGAGTCATATTAATTTACGGTAGTATCAGCTTCCCGATGCTGCACCGATACATCGTCTCACATTTCCTCTGTGGCTGTTGATGACTGATGACGACCCACCGCAACTCTCACCTCCTGCCTCTGAAGTAATGAGTCGCTCGTTGCCTTCAAGGTGAAGCAAGTACCTGTAGGTGCCCAGGTGGTGGAGGTAACCTGGTAGGTGCGCCTCGTCACCTCGCCTCCCTCACGTGGGGCCTCAGGCGCGTGCTCACCTGATACGGTCACGTGCCGACTCCTGCCGAGGTAATATCACCCTTACCACTTGATGCCACACGGCCGGTTTTACAGATGGTTGACCCGGCACGCCAGGTGGTCTGGGAGGAGCCACTGTGAGCCTTGTTGGAGCCTGATGTGAGGGTGAGTATTAGCACGTGCTGACGGTGATGTGGCAACTGAGGAGATGAGCCTTGATAACTCTTACATTACCACCATATAAGAAGTAGAATAGTAAGGGCTGGTTTACGGCTCTGGTGATGAGTGAGTCAGTGTGTAGCAGCCCTTCTGTTCACCAACCACAAGGCCGCAAACCTCAGCGACGAGGCCACAGTTCCCAGGGTTATTAGTTGGTCCATGACGAGTTTGAAGAAAGGCGACCAAGATCTTTATTTTGCGGGGTTCACCTTGCTGGCATAATGAAGATAAATGCGACAGACAATTGAAGATGGTTGTGATGTTGTGACTTTGTGGTGGAGGAGCCTTGTTTACTGCTGGCGATTAGTGGCAGCCACACCATGACTACTCTCACACCCTCCCTCACCACCACCAGTGTTGGTGATCCTCCCTCACCACCACCACCAGTGTTGGTGTACCTCCCTCACCACCACTAGTGTTGGTGATCCTCCTTCACCACCACCACCAGTGTTGGTGTACCTCCCTCACCACCACTAGTGTTGGTGATCCTCCCTCACCACCACCAGTGTTGGTGATCCTCCCTCACCACCACCAACACCACATTGTTGGTGACCCTCCCTCACCACCACCATTAGTGTTGGTGATCCTCCCTCTTCACAACCAGTGTTGGTGATCCTCCCTCACCACCACCACCACCATTGTTGGTGACCCTCCCTCACCACCACCAGTGTTGGTGATCCTCCCTCATCACCACCAGTGTTGGTGATCCTGTCTCACCATCACCACCAGTGTAGGTGATCCCCGCCACCACCACCAGTGTTGGTGATCCTCCCTCACCACCAGTGTTGGTGATCCTCCCTCACCACCTCCACCACAGTGTTGGTGATCCTCCCTCACCACCACCAGTATTGGTGATCCTCCTCACCACCTCCACCACAGTGTTGGATCCTCCTCACCACCACCAGTATTGGTGATCCTCCTCATCACCACCAGTGTCGATGATCCTGCCATCCACCAGTGCTGGTGATCCTCCCACCACCAGTGTTGGTGATCCTCCCTCACCACCTCCACCACAGTGTTGGTGATCCTCCTCACCACCACCAGTATTGGTGATCCTCCCTCACCACCTCCACCACAGTGTCGATGATCCCCGCCACCACCACCAATGTTGGTGATCCTCCGTCACCACCACCAGTGATGGGATCCTCCTTCACCACCACCAGTGCTGGTGATCCTCCGTCACCACCACCAGTGTTGGTGATCCTCCATCACCACCACCAGTGTTGGTGATCCTCCGTCACCACCACCAGTGTTGGTGATCATCCGTCACCACCACCTGTGTTGGTGATCCTCCTTCACCACCACCAGATCCTCCGTCACCACCACCAGTGTTGGTGATCCTCCGTCACCACCACCACGTGTTGGGTGATCCTCCTCACCATCAGTGTTGGTGATCCTCCCTCACCATCAATGTTGGGTGATCCTCCTCACCATCAGTGTCCTCCTCACCATGGTGTTGGTGATCCTCCCTCACCATCAGTGTTGGTGATCCTTCCTCACCACCAGTGTTGGTGATCCTTCCTCACCACCACCAGTGTTGGTGATCCTCCTCATCATCAGTGTTGGTGATCCTCCCTCACCATCAGATCCTCCCTTACCACCAGTGTTGGTGATCCTCCCTCACCACCAGTGTTGGTGATCCTCCCTCACCACCAGTGTTGGTGATCCTCCCTTACCACCAGTGTTGGTGATCCTCCCTTACCACCAGTGTTGGTGATCCTCCCTTACCACCAGTGTTGGTGATCCTCCCTTACCACCAGTGTTGGTGATCCTCCCTTACCACCAGTGTTGGTGATCCTCCCTCACCACCAGTGTTGGTGATCCTCCCTCACCACCAGTGTTGGTGATCCCCTCCTGCTGGACCCGGTCAGCCACAGGCCGGCTAAATGGTTCACTGTTCGTCGCCCAAATGAAAGTTTTGTCTTAGGTGAGTGACGTTGTGGTTTTATTGTGTGGTAGACAAATGACTGACGTTTGAATTTAAATATGAAAAGAAAATCATTTTTTTTTTATTATTGCACATTTGTTTTTCGTTTTGTCCTCTGTTAACGACGCGACGCCCGGGTCTTGCATAGTGACACGTCCTGTCGCTTTATTCTTAACGTCCAACTTTATTAACACATGTTCCTCTATTATTAGTATTTTCTCAACTAATGTCTAACTACACATGTTGATTATAAACCATGGACCATCATGTATGTTTATGTTGATTATAAACCACGGACCCTCATGACGCCTGTATGTTTATGTTGATTATAAACCACGGACCCTCATGACGCCTGTATGTTTATGTTGATTATAAACCACGGACCTTCATGGCTTCTTTATGTTGATTATAAACCACGGACTATCATGACTCCAGTATGTTTATGTTGATTATAAACCACGGACCTTCAGGGCTTCTCTATGTTTATGTTCATTTACCAATTGATGTTGACCAGAGAGCACAAGACAGCCTCCCAGGTGGTCGTGTCAGAGCTTCACACTTTATGTACCCCGGCCACCCTGATTAAGTCATTAAGATCCACCTGACGTACTGAGTGTTAAGTGTTGGTGGGTGTTGGCTTGATACTTCGAAGACCAGTCTGCACCATCACACACACACACACACACACACACACACACACACACACACACACATAAGTGGAGATGGTAAAGATATAATTTACCCTCAACACACACGGGGGCCAAAATTGCCACTGAAAACATTTGTCATCCCTCCTTCCCCGTTTCCCCTTCCAACCCCACTTCCCCCACCTCATCCCCCTCACTTGTCTCCCCTCCCCTTCCCTCTCCCCCTCCCCTTCCCTCTCCCCCTCCCCGGAGCTGATGAGATCACTAAAAACAAACATTTTACTTGTACCTGAGGTATATAAACTGTACCTCTTGTGAGCAGCCGTCACTGATACCACGACTTAAAGTGGCGTGAGACCTAGAGAGGGGTGAGTGTGGCGCTCTCTGCTGGAGGTCTGTGGAGGCACTGTAGGGCGGCACTGTAGCGAGAGAGAGAGAGACTGCAACACGGTACTCTGGCAAGAAAGCTATAACGGTAAGCTAAACCAGAGAGGAAGACCAGACCATTAACATAAGAGAAGAGGTCCATGACAACAATGGACTATGAGAGGAAGACAGTACCCTCAGTGGTGGAGCATAGCCAGAGTAGCGTACTGGACACCTTCAGTAGCCATCAAACGCCCTAACACCTTCAGTAGCCATCAAACGCCCTAACACCTTCAGTAGCCATCAAACGCCCTAACACCTTCAGTAGCCATCAAACACCCTAACACCTTCAGTAACCATCAAACACCCTAACACCTTCAGTAGCCATCAAACACCCTAACACCTTCAGTAGCCATCAAACACCAACACCTTCAGTAGCCATCAAACACCCTAACACCTTCAGTAGCCATCAAACACCCTAACACCTTCAGTAGCCATCAAACACCCTAACACTCAGTAGCCATCAAACACCCTAACACCTTCAGGTATCAAACACCTAACACCTTCAGTAGCCATCAAACACCCTTCAGTAGCCATCAAACTTTCAGAGCCATCAAACACCCTAACACCTTCAGTAGCCATTCAGTAGCCATCAACACAGTAGCCATCAAACACCCTAACACCTTCAGTAGCCATCAAACACCCTAACACCTTCAGTAGCCATCAAACACCCTAACACCTTCAGTAGCCATCAAACACCCTAACACCTTCAGTAGCCATCAAACAACACCTCAAACACCCTAACAACCTTCAGTAGCCATCAAACACCCTAACACCTTCAGTAGCCATCAAGCACCCTAACACCTTCAGTAGCCATCAAACACTCTAACACCTTCAGTAGCCATCAAACACCCTAACACCTTCAGTAGCCATCAAACACTCTAACACCTTCAGTAGCCATCAAACACCCTAACACCTTCAGTAGCCATCAAACACCCTAACACCTTCAGTAGCCATCAAACACCCTAACACCTTCAGTAGCCATCAAACACCCTAACACCTTCAGTAGCCATCAAACACCCTAACACCTTCAGTAGCCATGAAACATCTTAACACCAAAGATCTTACGAAAATATTTTACAAGTTAAACTAAAAAAAATGAAGCATGTAAGACTTGATGGAGTCGTATTCAGTGTGTTAAGATGCTCGTCAACAAGCCTTTAGTATTTAACACAAACACAAGATTACGAGGAAGAAAATCTATATTGAGAATGTAAACACGAGACCAAGGAACACTACACCCCCCTTCCCCCTCCTCCTCCTCACCTCTCCCCCTTCCTCCTCCCCCTCCCTCTCCCTTTCCTACCCCCATTCCCTCCCCTGCTCTTCCCTCCCCTCCTCTTCCCCCCCACCTCCCCTTCCCCAGCTAAACATAATCTTGGATGCTGTAACTGTACACCTTGTCACTAACTCCGGTTCCTACCATGGTGTCTTAATAGTCAACCTGGTTATCATGGTGATTATAACTACCATGATAATATTCCCATCATATATGTATAAAGTTTAGCCACAAATATATAAAAAAATTAGTTCAGTCATATATGTTACACGTGGTTAGTGGTTCAGGTGTATAGTGTGTAGTAGTGAACATGTGAGGACGCGGCTGTGGTTAATGATTCAGGTGTCACTACCCTTTACCTGTGATAACCTGACACACTTGTATTTGTTGTCTACGTTAAATCACTTCATAATAAATAACTTTACCTGTATTGTCCAGGTAACTTAATTATTCAGGTGAGTATTACTTTACCTGAATTAAACAACTTAATTAACTATACAGGTGAATATACTGAAAGTTAAGAATTTGCACTTAAGAAAAAAAAA